CAAGATCATGATTTGAAATATAATATTATATAATATTTGCAGTCAAAACCCTTCAGTAAATAGTGTATTAATTCATTATTATTACCACGACTTAATTTGAAAAAAAGTGTAGTATAGCGAGGTAAAATTGTCGCCTAAACAACAATTTTAACGTTAATTATGATAAATTTAATAAACCATATATAATAATAGCTTTCAGTAGCCGATGGGATACAACGAAAAAGTATAATGATTACAATGAATGTCACAGTTTCCCTAATTGTCTAAAAAAATTTTACAAGATTCTCGCGTTGCATTTGAGAAAATGAGGAAGCTACAAATAACGTCACCTCTATTCTTTATTTTTTATTCTCCTCATCCCAGAGGGCAATTGCACAAGTGACATTATTAAAGCCATTTAAGCGAATGACTGAGAGAGAACACACATAGCCCAAAGGTTGAAAACAGTTTGAAAAGGCGGAATGAAAGATAAAACAGAGGAAAGAGAGAGGAAGATGGAGAGGAAAAAAACAACCAAGAGGAGAGGTCACTATACTCTTCCCCAGGAGCGTAACTTCTTGCCGGCTGGAGGAGATCGTGCTGTAGCGCAACTCTTTCCCTCTTTGCCTCTTTGCCTTCTCTAAGTATCGCAGAATCAAGTCAGTGGTGCTCAATAATACGCGAGTTAAAGCGGCAAAAGCATTGCTTCCGGATTGCGCCATTCTTACGTTTTCGTTTTGAGAAAGCGAGACGAGGGAGACCTATACCCGGAGAGAGACTCGATAGCCCGTTGACTCGAGGAGTTTTAGTGGTGGAGGAGTGAGTTGTTGGTGTTGTACCTCACCTCACCTCACCTCTAGTCTCCTTCCCCCTGGCCCCACGTCGAAATGCATTATGTAAAGCTCCCTCGCGTGGTCGTATGAATAAAGCATGTTAACTCCATGACATCGTTTGCCAGTTTAAAAAACCAATGGGTATTGAGCCACCGCACCTATCACCTATCATTACACACATTAGAATGTCGTATTTTAGGCCTTTATACTGACAAAAAAACCATTGTTTCTCTCAAAAAATGGCATTTGCTAAAGTCAATTCAATTATTTGCTGTGTTTTCCATCAGCTTATATACGTTTATAATGTAATAACGTTTATTATAATTTTTGGGCCTGCTTTTACGTGCTTTCTTTCGTTAGCTCCTTCCATTGGAGAAAAAGTAAAAATTCAAGGTTTCAAATGAAAGTTTAAATTTAAGTCTAAATTATATTAAAATATTAATTTATGATTTTTTCGCAGTTCTGAAATATTGAATGTATAAATTCCATTTGTTTACATTGTGGAATCCAAAAGTTCGATTCAACAGCTTGATAATACTTTGCAAAATTGAATTTTGAAACATAATTAAATTGTATTTAATAACATTTTTGGCAAGTTAAATTGAAATGAACTTTACACCAATTCGAACCCAATTGATTGTAGAGTTTTGAAAATATTTATCTATGTTGTCAGAACATGAAAACATTTTGAGTCACTCAAAGAATCTTTATTCAAAGCAACTGAATCGGATAATTTAATCTTGATAGGATCAGAATCCAGCCAGTAGCTTCATGCGGTAAAATTTTTGCCAAAAATCGGTATTTATTTTTAAAATATATTGATTAATCGTTTTTTTTTTCAATCATCAAAATCAAAACCAATTCATTTCAGGCTTGGAAAGTTGTTTACAATAGTTTCTTAATCGCATCGAATAATAGTATAATGCATTCTCTATATTTTCCAATCCTATTCTAAAAGGGACACGCTTTAAAACAAATGTATCGAGTTGCTCTTTTTGATTGCGGGGTTTCGCTTACCCAAGTAGGGGTTGAGGCCTGGGCCAACCAATGGTCAACGCTTGGTTCAACGTTTAGCTTAAAAAGTGGTCCATGATTGGGCTGCATCCCGAACGATAACTCAGGCCCAATCAAGGGACGCTAGCATGGCCCAGCGTATGCAGCCGTTAATGGCCCATAACTGGGCAAACGGTTTTCGTCACGACTGGCTCAATTATAATTTCGAAGCTTGGGATTTAATGGCTAACTAATCCTTCACTTTATGTACCGATTATTGGTGGGAATGATAAAAAAATAAAATGAATGAATTTTTTATCACCGATATCATTCACATTTAACCCCATTTATGAATCGTTCATGAATTAATCGCTGAAAAATCCTAATTATAGTTAACTTAAAAATGACCGCCCCAACCGAAATTCGAACGCATGACCCTAACATTACTAAAAGTACGCCTTGCCGTTAAGCTGACATGCATTTATACCTTGTGATTTTGAATTGGGTATATGAATCCCATGTTAACTTTGTAGGAACAATTGTAATGAATAATTTCCTCTTACGATTCACTTCATCCATTGACATAATTTCTCGTTTATTCTTAAAATCTATTACACCCTACAAACAAGCCACCCATCTGCAAGCAAATGTCTAATGAATGAACAATAATATGTAATGTCTAAATAATCGAATAATCATACGAGTCTCCAAAAATTATTTGAAAGAGCCGAGAACTTTTTTCCACGCTTCCCCCCCCCCCCTTCTATTACGCCACTAAGGCGTGCAAATTTAACGATTAACATGATTTTCTCAAGAAAACGGTTTTCCCAGAAAGTAACGTACGGCCTCTCATTTCCCTCTCTATGGAAAAAAATATAAATGAAGAAAAAAAATAATTTGACCTGGCCTGACTTAGAGGCTGGACCAAGCTAACTGTTCAAACGACGAGGTCGCGCTTCAAACGTGGGACCTTTTGCTGTATCGACTTCCGACAAGTCGATTAAGGCGATCCCGTATGTCGACCTCGCACACTATATTTCCCCCTAGCCCCTCTATCCTCCATATATACGTGCCTCCACCTCTCCCCGCAGCGAGAATGTATATTTTTTTTATCACACGATCATTTATAGAACCTTCTTGCGAAAATTATTCATCGAGATAGTTGAGAGTAATTCTTCAAGTTTTTTTTCTCCCCCTGATGATAAAAAACGATTCTTTTTATGGGCATTAAAGGGGGCATTAAAAGGCAGGGAAACCGGAAGTTTATTTACGATGCTAGCTTCCAATGGGATGCGGGGTAAACAAGAGAGATTATGTATGGATGACGTATGAATGTGTTAAGTTTTTTTTATTGCTCCAGTGATTAGATTATGGAAATTATTGTTGGTAGAAAAAATGACACTCGAATGATGATCGATTTATCATTGATCGTCAATAGTGATTACGGATGGTGTAATTAGTAGTGAGAAGTTCTTGATAAATTTTTCATCGGTTTTCATATTGCAAACTACAGCAACTAATACATTTATCAGAGGGATGAGCAATAAAATTTTGATTAATTTGTTTTTGTTGGACAAGTAAAATGGCATAGTTTGAATGTCATTGGAAGTTTAGGAAAAAGTAGGCTAAATGTTTAGGACTTTTGTAAGATGGCAGACTGGTGAATGTAAGTGGAGGAATGGCCGAAGGCAATTGGTGTTCAATGGAAAAAGCAAAAAGCGCCCGAGTTTCTGGTTGTATTAGATGATGGGAGCGAACCCAGAGGAACGCAACCGCTACAGGGGAATCTGGTCTGTTATGTTACCTTTCTTGCGTAAGAGTCGAGAGCCCCGAGCCAAAGGTTTCACGTTGATAGAGGAGGCAATGGAATGGTAAATTCAGTGAGGAGCAGTGAGGAACAGGAGGATGAGAGATAATAAGTAGCAAGTGTTATCGTACGCCAAAGAGAAATAGAGGAGTTGGATATGGAAGGCGCGGTGGCAATGTATAGCTGAGAGGAGGAGAATAAAAAGTTGTGAGGAAGAGAGAGCACTGAGAAAAAGGCGGACTCCTGGCACGCGAAGGTCGATGTGCCGTTGTCTCTCGCACCAGGAAATTGCCATCTTCCACGTCATGGCCAATCCGATGCCGATGCCGATGCTGATGCTGATGCTGATGCTCCAGCGTTTATTGTTGCATGCGCTATTAATTGATTTCTTTCATCTCCTTTCAGAGTTTTTCTCTTAAACTTCGAAATTCATTCTTATATATAAGACAACTAATATGTCAACCATTCCTAGCTCACACCTATTAGTTCTTATCCTATTCCTATTCCTATTCTAAAAGGGACACGCTTGACACAATCGATTATCTCGAAAATCTCGAAATCATGAAGCCGCGATTCCTTATTGGTCCGCCTAAAGTAGCGCGAGATTACAAACATTCTTACAGAAATCGTTTCAAACTGCGCGCTGGCGCGCCTACTCTTAAAAAGTATATTTAGTTGAACCCTGCGGCATTGAGTTGGTCTATCCGATTTAGTTAATTGCTTCATCATTAACGGATATTCATTTGTACTGAGATGACAATTATTCATTTGCAATTCGTTTTTTCCGCAACTTGAGCAACACTTATTCTCAGCAAGGCGGAAATAATTGAATTCAATAATTAAATTCAATAAAAACGATTAAAAAATTGAACAAAAGGAAAAAAAGCGTCGAAGGTTGATACGATTAAAAGGCAAGCTCTCTTGGCTCTTTCTTCCTGTTGGAGGTCGTTTTGGTATTAAAGCGGAAGCGCCTTCGACGTCGATGGAAATATGGTATGCAAATCCGGGACGGAGAACGGATACCAGTCTTCCTGCCCGCCTCTCGCACCGTCTCGTTGTTTTACCTCTTATAAACTTTGAGACCTTCACATTCTATGATAATTCAGCTTATGATAATTCACCCTTTCCCATCATCATCGATGAAGAAAGAATTTGTTACTTCTTTTTCTGTTACTCGCGGTTATTCTCTTTAGTTTCTACTGATAACAAGGTCATTATTCCAAGCGATAACACACAAATGCCGCATACACTAACTGCTTAATTGTCTTATTTTTCGTCGTTTATTGTCTCACCTGTATTTTCTTTGACGTCATGACCACTCATTGATGGCTATCTATGTCTCTGTTATTTTTAATTTTCCCTTCATATGGAATTTTTATATTTTCCAGCACGTGCCGATACCTGGGACTACATAAGTGTTATGAAACTAGTGTCGACGATCCAATTGCCACAGCTACCGCCAGTCACCGCCGCTGGCGGCATGACGGGAATGGACTCACGTCTCCCACCAGGGATATCCCTTCCTTTCAGTCCCACAGATTTGCTATGGCGATATGGACCCACCATGAGTTTTCCACCCGCCTCACATCCATCATCTGGTTCACTGCTCGATTTTAAGAACCACTTGCCATCCAGTCTCGGTGAGTTTTTTTCCTTTCCTTTCCATAGCAAACACGGGTTAATTGTATGCGCCACGGAAAATTTCCCTTTCCGCAACACATGAAACCAACTTTAGAGGAACAGCAGTTGACAACTTATTAAGAAAGATTCTTCAGAATATCGTGATTTTTTTTTACAATGAACTCTAGAAAAAAATATATAAATATATAGGGGGCCTCAGGTCAAAACAACATAACTTAATTTCAAATGAAATGAAAAAAGTAAAAATAAGAAATTTCATGTTAAGGCCCTGGTGGACCATCTGTCGAACGTCATCTTTTGTTTAAATTTGATCTTTTTAGCCTAAAATATATTAAAATTTAGGATTAAACTTGTGTCGGGTGAAGCACTCGAATGGATATAAAGAAATAAGGAAAAAAAGAGGTAAAATTATTGAAGAGCCCTAAAGAGTAATATTGTTTAAAAGGGGTCTACCAACTTTACTAAAAAATAATAAAAAATATGTAGCTCATTATATATGTGATATATAATTACGGCCACAAATGCAATGTGTCATATCATGATAAGCTACGTATTTTTTATAATTTTTTAGTAAACTTTAATATTTAACAACACATTTTTCTTATCAATTTCATTCCTTTTATTGAATGATTATTACAAGATATATTTCTCCCTTTAAATGTTGCCAATCCGACGAAATTGAATAGTTCCTTTGTATTTGTGCATTGAAAATAGCTTCAGATCCTCGTGTATGGTCTCGTGACGATGTGACAACGTTTCTCCGTTGGGCAGAGCGAGAATTCGAGCTCCCTTCAATCGACATGGATATGTTTCAAATGAATGGTAAAGCCCTTTGTCTTCTGACAAAATCTGATTTCGGAGAGAGATGCCCAGGAGCCGGTGACGTACTTCACAATGTCCTTGGTATGTTAGCACGTGATTTCAATCAACTTCAAAGATGTATGCCGAGCAGTCCAGTGACACCCACACGGCCATCGGCATATCCATTGAGTCCACACTCCCATCCACCAACGCCAACGTGGGTTGAGAATCCATACGCTGCTAATTTAGCATCACTCATGTCAGCCAACTCTGTGACACTATCGCCAGCACCTTCGGTGGACAGTCAGGCCGGGTCACCGGGCCACACTGAGAATGGACATACGCAGATTTATAAGAGTGACTCTGATGAGGATAATCAGCAGGGCAGCGGCAGCCCACCAGCAACACCAACGGCACTTACTGCTCAGAGGCTTAGTGAAGTTTGTGTTAAGGACCAACCGAGTCCCACTTTATCGTCCCAATTGATGCCACTTACGCCTGGGGGCTTTCGGCCTGGCTCTAATGCACGGGAATTCTTCCCCAGCGATTCACCCGAACCTAATACGAGTAAGTTTTTTTCTTTATTGTTATTCCAATCTACTGGCCTCTCTATTGGCTCTCGGGTGAGAATTAAAGTTAAAGTTTCAAGTGGTGAGATGACGTCTCTTTATTTGTATCTTAAAATTTAGCTTCAAGAACATATCATAACATTTTTTTCCTACTGCTTTCCCCTCCTATAGAAATAAAAAATAAAAAACAAAAAAAAAACGCTGAAATGACTGATTGCAGTATTTGAAACAATAAGTTATTGCCAAATTTATCATACCGTAGATATAGTACCTTTTCTCTTCTAGTTGGGTCTCTAGAAATGATTAATTACCAAAAGGCAAAAAATTCTAGACAAAATTTCGAAAATTTTTCCTTCCTACCTTCCTTGAAAGACGTCTTACTATGCAAATAGTGTAATGAGTGAAATTACAAGAGACTTGGAGCTATGTGTTTAAAACAGCGATGCACACAACAATTCAAATAAAATATAAAATTGAATAGATGATCTTTTGTCTTTAGGTGAAACCTTTTTTCAATTTAATGAAATAACATAAACGGATGGTGCTTCTCTCCGTCTCACTTTTGAGTATTTTTCTTTTTTTTTTAACTAATTCTTTGGCGATAAATAAATACATATATTTTTCTTTAAAGGAAATATATACGTCAAGATGCAGGAGAAAAATAAAATTTCGTTTTTTATTGACACTTTCTTGTTTTGTCTTGTGAAGACATTCCTTCATTTTGAAGTTTGACCACCTTACATTATTCCTTTTATTGTCGCTTATTGGGAATGTAAAAATTTGTTAGTCAGTGATAACATTCATTTTTTTTTGTAGATGGAAGACTTTTATGGGATTTCCTACAGCAATTATTGAACGATCCCAGTCAGAGATACACCCACTATATCGCGTGGAAGAGTCGAGAAACTGGTGTATTCAAAATAGTTGATCCTCCTGGACTCGCAAGACTCTGGGGAATCCAGAAAAACCATTTATCAATGAATTACGACAAAATGAGTAGGGCACTGCGTTATTACTACAGAGTTAACATCTTGAGGAAAGTCCAGGGAGAACGTCATTGCTACCAGTAAGTATATCGCTAAAAACCGGTTCACATCTATGCAAAGACTTTCTTCAATTGTGCAATTAAAAATCACGCATTAATTTCACAGCTAGTGAATATGAATTTTTAGTTAAAATTTTTGATATCATAATAAAAACAGTTCTTTGACACTTCCATGATTATCTATTGAATTAATTAGTTGTCAGGCAGATTAATCAGGGATTCTTCTCGTTCAGGTTTCTCCGCAATCCAACAGAACTGAAGAATATAAAAAATATATCCCTCCTCCGCCAACAAATGAGAATAAAATCCGAGCCCGACGAGGACAATACTATATCAAACGGCATGGAGCCGGAAGTTGACATGCCAACTGATCTCTCAATGTCAAGTATGAACCAACCCTCGTGTGAACAATCACATGTACAACCTCTGCCGCTTCTCGATCCACCAGCAAAATACCGCAGCCACGCTTACAATCTGGTTAAAACTAATCAAGAGTCGGAAGAGAGGAAGTGACGTGAGACTTAACAGCGACTAGAAATATCACCATTTTACTCTCCCTCTTGGTTGACAATCGTTGTTACGTTCCCGTTGTTATTTTGTAACGATAAAAAAAACGAAATAACACGTGAGTGGTAGCATTTACTCAATTATACTCTCTCTGACGTCCAACGAATATGAATTGAATATAATTTGCTTGTATTTGGATGCTCAGGGAAAATTGATGATTTTTCGGTGAATTCCCACTAAAGAGAATTCATAAGTAAAATGAGGATTAAAAACGTTAGTAACGTTTTATCTTACTCGTGTCTTTTGGGCCTCGATGTGAATTTATGTCGAGAAAAGACTGATCCATAGGACCGAAAATATGCAATCCTCTCTTCAGCATTGGAATAGTGAAATAAAATAAAATAAAATCGATTTTGAAACAGTGGTTTGAGGAAAAAAAAATTCTTCGATCTCCGTGAGTGGTCGGACGTTCCTTCCTGAAATATTTTCCGATTGTTTAAGAGAAACGCTTCATCTTTACCCCATAATCGAATAACCCGACGATCTGGTTTAATATACGTTCTGCAATACCATATGAGATTCCAGTTGGATTTTCCATGAATATTCCAACGCGTGTTATTTTATCGATTTTCCATGAATCAGTTTTCCAATAGATTGTTCATTCTTCACTTTGCCTTCAATTTTCCCTCACAAATTTGCCCAAATGTGTTTTTTTTTTCAAAATTATTAGAAACTTTGATAAAAACATTTGGAAACGATAAAATGTCATTCAATAAATGGGTTCGAAGAGGAGATGAACCTGGGATATTAATTATCAAATAAATTGCATCATTTAATTTTCTCCCGAATCTGTGCCAAGAACGTTACCTTATCACTTAAAGAGAATGAGTATGAAATTTGGGTACGTGAGAATAACGGGGGAAGATGGGATAAAATGGACATCGCATTTAACTCTCACTAGACAATGGGAATATTTTTATTTCCTATTTTTCATCTTCTAGAATGAACTATCGGTGAAATCAATCTCAAAATAAAACTCGTTCATTTCAAGCTCCATTTATATACAGTTCAGTAGCATTAATGTGATATGGTCTATTCCCTATTGATATATATTAACAATAGTAAGGAAAACCAATATTTTAACGATATAGAAACGTCCATTCTACCCCGACTTCTCCCTAAATTTTAATTTAGTCTTATCGAGCTTCCATTCAGTACGTTAACTCTTTCATTTTTAGGGGATTAAATCCTCTAATATTTTTTATTGTCGTCCTGTTTAATACTAAAAGCGTGCAAATACGTTTGGCAGGTTGCAATTTCAATGATAGACTATAACTTTTTTTTAGAAATACATAAGAAATATATGGCTAATGTAAATAGATTTTTACTCGTAATGACTGTAAGAGTAATGATACATTATAAGTAGATTGATAATAGAGAGGAAGCAATTTGATAAAGATAAATTCTATCTGAAGTGAGGTGAAAGGTTAAAAAAAACCGTAGGAAAAATTAATTCTATTAAAAAAAAATCCGGGGCCAGAGTTATATTTAAATTTATATATAAATATATACATATAAAATATATTACATATATTTTTTAATACCAAAATTTATATTCGATATTTGTAAACTGAAAAATCATAGTTATTGACCGATTATTTCGCTATTTTTTTTCTGAAAAAAAAAAGAAATAGAAAAAAAATTCGAGCCACCGAGGTACAATTCAAAGGGGTTGCTTATCTCCACTCGTTGATAAGATAATTTGGACGTTAATAAATATATATGGAAAAATCGTGATTTTAAGAATTAAGTGTATTTTTTCACATACATCGCAATGTGCGATTCATTCGCGAGTGAAAATTTAATGAACCGAAAAGAACTATGTGAAAACGAATTTAATAAAATTGAAATATGTATCTGACTTCTTGTATACTGTGATCTCTGTAAGGATAAATGGGGAAGAATACATTCAAATGTGAAATATAAAGCTCATTTAATGACAAATGAGATGAACTTCCTCCATATCATACGAGTTTTATGAGAGCATAATATAGTTAAAAGTAAATCTATAGTTGAGGAAATATAATGTATATGTTCAATTACTTTCTTTTTTTTCATTTATGAAATTGTATATAATACACATATTAACGGCCATGAGGGATAGAGGGAGATACGGATGAACGGATCATTGATATTGTGGGGAGGACTCCGAGGATAATTGCTGGTAATTGATGAAATGTGAAAATCACGTTTATATGAACAGTAGGCTTTAAGATAACTAAAACAAGTATCGTGTATAAAAAACAAATTATATCACTTGTAAAATGATAGATTAGCGCCATTTTATTGTACTTGTTATGGAGACACTCCAAACGATGTAAATATAAACTCATCTACTTATTACCCGTGCACTTTTGTTCATTTAGTAAAATTAATCAATTAATTGGATGGTGGCCAATGATATTACCAATCCTTCCCAGTACCAGCCAACTTATAATTAAACTCTAGAGGCTATCAGTTCGTTTTCTGACAATGAACAAGTCTTCATCTTCGGGACTCGAACTTGCGCGACTGGGACGCTTTGGTCATAGGGCCAGCACGCTGACGACGAGCCCAAGACTTCCCCTATTATTTAATATTTTTCTGTACTGAGAGGAAAAATAACTGCTCAAATGACTCGTTAGCTGAAAATGACCAAGGAAAATATAATGTTGGGCTGAGCACGTGAAAACCTTTCAGAAATCAAGATTTTTTGTTAAGAAACCAAATTGACTCATTCTATCAATGTATTGATCACAGAAAACATATGAGCTCGTGACTCTAGTAATAATAATATATTTCCATATGTATACCCTTTCGGGTCTTTACATTTTTTTTTTGTTCCCTTCCCTTAGCTGCTAAAACCCTGTCTTAAAGCTTATTCAGTACATCCATGTTACAACTAGTTACAAACTGTTTTCATCACAAAAACATAACCGCCATAAGGGCTCTTATATTAATAATAGCATTGCATTATGCGTTAACTTAAGCTTAGCCTAGTACTTATTTAATTAATTGCCTCCGTCTTTGGCCTTTTTTCGCTGGAGATCAGAGGGCTTGGAGTGTCCTATTCGTTGTACCTTAGGACAAAAGAAAAAGAAAAAGGATAATAATAACCGGGGACCCGCGTGCCATCACCCACGCCATCGAGACGGTTAAAAGAAAGTACTCCTCGGCCGTGAAATATTCGTTACAGCTCTCAGTTTCCCTTCGGCTTCCACTCCTTCAATCCTAGATGGGACTAGCTGTGAACAAAAGCCTCAGTCTAGTCGAAAATAGACACAATGTGAAAATACGATCCAGGGGGTTGTCATAGGGTAGCACTATGTGTTCCTGCCTGCTCCCCCTCCCTTACCCTCAGTAATTTCTCCCATTTCCTATAGAATTTGCAAAGTTCTGAGATTGGCCTTCCCCCCAGTAGCTCCGCAATTGACTCCCCCCTTCTTAGCTTCTTCCAGTTATCCCATGCTTCCTTCACGGCCCCCCCTTTGATACCATCACAGGCCAGGATATGGTCAAGGTCCTCCGAGGCTCCCGCACACATCCTGCAGGATACGTCATCGTAGCCTTTGTTTCCGGCTTTTCCCACATTACCACAACGCAGTCGCGCCCACATCACTTTATCCCCCCATGAGACCTCCCTCATTTCCCAGTAGCAGGCGTCATCATCCCTCCCCTTCAAGTGCTTGTACATTGGATTGAACCTAGAATGGTTGGTCCTCTCCCTGTCTTCCCTTCTAGTCTTTTCTCTCCCTCTGTTTAGGTACTCCTCTGTCTTTTCCCTAAACTCTTTCCTCTCGAGTTCCCCCTTGCTTAGGATCTCCGTAAATTCGTTGACTTCCCAGTCCTCCAGCGCTTCCTCCAGCTCTTTGCCCCAAGTCGAGGGGTGTCGGTTCTTTAGCGCCCTCGGTTCCTCCCTCAGGCAGATTTGAACTAATCTGTCCTTCTCCAGTCTGCTCACCTCTCCCAAGAATTGGAGCGCTCGCCTTCTGGTCTCAAAGATAACGCTTTCTCTCCCGCTCTCGGCTCTCCACAGGTAATCTGGTGTTATTCTAGCCACCCCCATCCCCATTTTTATAACCCTTCCTTGTATTCGTTCCATTGCTGGCCTTTTCTTCAGTCCCCAGATCTCCGTTCCATACATTGCCCCTGCCTTTCCCAGGGTGTTCAGGATATATAGCCTATTCTTAAGGGTGTGTAGCCCTGCCCTTGCCGCGATGCCCCATGCTGCATTGGTCGCTTTGATCCCTTTGCCGGCCATTTTTCGGATGTGCCCCTCCCTTGAGTTTCTGGATGTGAACCAGTATCCAAGGTATTTAAAATTGTTCACCACTTCCACTGGCTTCCCACCAATTATCCAGAGCTCCCCCTTTTTCCTTCGCCCCCCACCCCTGAAGACCATGATTTTGGTTTTGTTTACGTTGATTTCGAGTTTATTTTTTGTGAAGTATCGCTCGGCCGTAACTAACATGTTTTGCAACCCCCTCGCGTCCTCGGCCACAATTTCGATATCGTCTGCGTATTTCAGGCAATAGACTTTTGTTTTCCCTATGACGGACCCACCCTCATTTCTCCTCTCCCATCTGTCATCAATGTCATCGATGAACAGGTTGAAGAGAATTGGGCTCAAAGGACATCCCTGCCTGACTCCCTTGCTTGTTGTGAATCTCCCCGTTATCCCCGTCCCTGTGATGACTTCATTCTCCGTGCACCCGTAGAACGCTTTTACCATTTCGTAAAAACGCGCCCTGATACCCAGTTTCCACATCTTCTCTAAGAGCAGATCTCGGTCAACCGTATCGAACGCTGCTCTCAGATCGACGAAAGCTGTGTAGAGCTTACCTCCCTTGTTTTTTATTCTGTTTCCGATCAACGAGTTCAAAATGAAAATCTGTTCCCTAGTTCCCCTTCTTCTTCTGAAGCCCCCCTGGCTCTCCCTGAGTTTCCCCTCTCTTTCTAGCCAGCTACCTAGTCGCCTGGCCATGATGCTGGCTAGCAGCTTATATCCCAGGTTTAGTAGGGAAATCCCCCTATAATTTTCTACTTCGTTTTCGTCCCCCCCCTTGTGGATGGGGAAGATGCGCGCTACTTGCCACCCCTTCACCAAGATCCCGGCTTCCCATCCCTTCTGCACGATTTTCCACAACTCAACCTTCCAGCTCTCCGGTAGGTTTTTCAAAAATTCGCCACTAATGCCATCCTCCCCGCTGCTTTCCCATTCTTTAGTGCCTTCAGGGCCCCGCTCAGCTCTAGGTATGAGATGTCCCTATCGATGTCCTCTACCTCGATCCTCTCCTCCCCCCCCCTCCCAGTTTCTATTTCCATTCCTCGCGCTATTAACACCCCCCAGGAGCTTTGTCATGTGACTCACCCATCGCTCGTCCGTGATCGAATTCCCCTTCCTCGCTTCATGTGGGCTCGTGACTCTAGTATTTTTACAAGGATTTTTTGAGGAGTAATTCTCTTTTCCCTCAGTGTAGATAATTAGATAACAGCCTTAATTCTCTCTTCTTCTTTTTTTTTATCCTTTTTTATATCCTATTCAAAAGGGAGATGGCCATTTATATGGAATCGAATCGAAAGTCTCGAAAGTTGAAGCCTACAATCTGTTAGTAACAGCGCAGAGCGTACATTTAAACCCATTGTGCATGGTGGGTCTTGGATAGAGCTGCATGCGCAAAAAAGAAGCGGACCGTACGATTTCAACTAATTGTTGAGGTTAAAAGACTTCAGTATTCTTTTTTCATAATAATTATTTACATTAAGGGCCGAATGGAGTCTCTGATTATCTCGTATAGATGGCTTTTTTCGCGTTTTTTACATCTGGAACATTGGTGCAGTCCTGCAGGAAACAGCTGCACCACAAAAATGCATGTAGGCTGTCAAATAAGTTAAAAAGAAACCAAAAATATAAAGTCCGCGCTTCTTCATTAAAATGGAAGGATAATTGTACAAAAGCACAAGTTGGAAATATCTGATTTGACGGGGGGGGGGGGGGGGGGGGGGGATACAAAAAAATATCTTCCTGTGCGGTTGGTGGGGTATTATTTCACAAAGTCGTTCTCGGAAAAATTATTACATATTTTTAAGATTATTTTCCCAATAAAAAAGATTCACCCGTGAAAACTGTCATGGTGTAGTCCCATTGATCGCGCGATCATGGTTTATGCTCATCGCCATGTTGAATATGGCGGCACACATTCTCCGGTGAGTTTTGGGCAATGCATGGTGGACTCACATGAGCGACTAAATTCATACGGAGTATATTTTCATTTTTTAAGTGTATTTTATTTTTCATTAAAAGTTTTCATTAATCTCGAAAAATGTCCGTATGCAGATAGAATAGATATACATATTTTTAAATGATTGGAATTTAATTTTATGTAAAAAACAATGGAATTAAAGATCTTTTTCTTTTCTTAGCTAAGGCCAATTGTAATATTCGAATATTTCTGTTTTATTTTATTCAATTAAGACAAACAAAGATAAAAACGGATATGATCTAATGAGTAACCAATAAATAATTAATAACCTAATTTATTTTTGTTTTTTTTTTAATAAAAAAATTATTTTCGATAATCGATCATTTTTCATTCGATTCTATAATCAAACGGGACCCCTGATCTGACATGTGATGAGAATGTCATCAACGTCGCGGCCGCGGCGGTGCTAGTGTAGAGGAATTGAGGTGGTGATCAGCTGTCACTTCACCATAAAAAGAAGGAGGGGCGGAGGGGAAGTATGCTGAATGTAAATTATTCCGTACGCAGCACATGAGGCATATGTATTACATTTTCTGCCTACATGCGCCGAAAGTGAGCATTCTCAACGTCACTTTCGCCGCATTTCGGCAGAAACATCGTATGCAACCCTCGGGAGGATAATCAGACAAGCATTTCCCACGTGCAAAATTACCACCCGAGCCGAAGGCGAGGAAGGTACTCGTCTACTTTTCCTCCCTAGGTGAGCAATATACTATTTCTTCTCTGAAAAATCTTCAACTATTTTTTAGATTTTTTTCAATTTTAATTTCTTTATCTCATAATTGGCAGATCTCTCCGAATTAGATAGCGAAAAATTAAGGTGGCGATGAACCGTCAATTTAGCGGGCAAGATAAGGGCAGGTACAAGAAGTGGGATGAACGTTGCAGAGTTTAATTTTGATGTTGAGATCTTTTGAAAAAAATGATTTCGGTATGCGTTCATTCTACTTCTTGTGCCCCCCGCCCATTTCGCCCGCTAAATTGAGAGCTCATCGCCATCCCAATCTTTCACTATGCAATTGGGAGACATCTACCAATGGTTATGGTTATGGTTAAAAATACGGATAGGCATTTGCTGCCCTCTTGTCACCGAACCCCTACTGGGCTATTGTGGCTCCGTTGTCCTTCTGATCCCTATAATTCTAGGCCAGCTTTTCTCACCAGTTTTAGTAGATTC